ACTAAAATATGTGAACATATGTCCCCCATTCATCCCTTTCTGGACCTTCTTAAGTTTCTCTTCAGATTTCCTTCACTCCCACTTTACCTACCCTGCAAGGTCACAAGTATAGCCAGGAGCCTGGTCCATTGTGGTCATTCCAAGGGGTTCACAGCCTCCTTTGGGCACCCACCTGCTCTAGGGTGGTTGTCCACAGGCTCCAAGTGGATGTCTGCATTCCTGTGACCTCTGTGATTGCAGGGGCACAGCTGCCTCACCATGAGCTGCACCATGGACTGCAGGGGAATCTCAGCTCCAGTACCTGAGCACCTCATGCTCTCCTTCTACACTGATTTGGATGTCACAGCTGCGTCTCCCACATATTATCACTCCTCTTCTCTCTGGCTGTTGCTGTTCAGCAGGTTTCCTTCCCCTGATTAACTGTGTTAGCTCGTCATGACTGCAGGAGGGCTCAGCCTTGGCCAGTGGTAAGCCCGTCTTGGAACCAGCTGCCATCAGACATAGGGGAAACTTCCAGCAGCTTCTCACAGATTGGCACAGCGCCAGAGCCAGCTAGCCCTCAGCTCCACATCGGGAGTGGGACACACCTCAGGAGCAGGATGAGCCAACGTGCGGCTTAGAGCAAAGCTCTATGGCACTTCAGGCTAGTCAGGCACAGTTTGGAGGCAAGAATGACAGGAGAGCGTCGTATGGTTTCCAAAGACATCCTTAATCCCCACAGCATCCAGGGACTAAATACAAAAGTTGCAGGCTGTGCAACATCTTATATATGGGAGAGGAGTAAGGGAGGATACAAATCATAAACCAATAGGGAAGACTTAGGGGAGGAGTTTAAGGTGGCACTTCAAAGCATAAACCAATGGGAAAGCTTGGGGGGCAGGAACAGTTAAACTAATCCAATGAGGTATCAAATACAATATGATTGACAGGGAGGATTCTAGAACAAAGGGTAGGTACTAAGTAAAACTGACAGGGAAGGATTTGGATGAAGGGGTAGGGTTACAATGACTGACAGGGAAGACACTGGAAAAAGGGGTTGGGATGCAATGATTGATGGCAGTAGGGAGGAGGGTACAACTTGGATCAAACCAACATCAAAGGGGAAAACAGAACAAACCACTTGTACAATGAACTTTAAACTTATTAAACAAAAACACACCACCACAACAGATGCAGTCCCTGCCACTACCAAAACCTTGCCATGAAAGCCCAAGTCACATAGTTAAAAGTTTCTGTGTTAGCCATGTAAATATTTTTGATCTGTGATCATATCAGTAATAGTTTTGTTTTGATTTATGATGTATTTTGATATATTTCAACACATATCCATAATCTAACATTCTAGGGATTTATCCTTAACTGGCTAGGCTAAAATCTAGAGTAATTTTTACTAATATTTCTGTTGTGTTGCCTTGAGAAACTTCTAAAAATTATGTCCCAAATTAGGTTTATGCCAAAGAGAAGAGTTAAATTTGATTTAAATTTGCATTTTCTTGCAGGCCATATGCTGATTTAATCTACTGCGCCGCAATCAAACTAAGGATCAAAGATAAAATACAACGTTCATTGACAGAAAAAGGGGATCAATTTTTTTCAAACTACCATTTGGAAATCTTTAAATGGAAAAATTACTGTGTGCTATTTTAATTTCAGTTTTCTTTAATCCTTATGACCCTCTCTAGTCTCTATATACTAGACAAGTATGTATACTCCATGCCACATATTTAAGAGACATATGGGAAACACATTTTGCAGGGAAAGTCTGAGCAAAGAAGGGAAAGGTTTTCCTTAAAGGAAAGATGAAGGAAAAGGATAAAAGCAACTCATGTTAGCACCTTGTTTTGTTTCTGTTCTTTTCACTGCTTTCTAATGATTCATTTATCAAATAATATGTAGACTGATACAGAATTTTAGGGTCTTTGATTTTTATAGTCCACAGTGTTTAAAATCTTGACAATTAGAAAGCCTCTCCTAAAGCTGAAGAATGCCTTGAAGAAATAACTTTACCTGATTCCTGTTATTGTCTCTTTTTTACAAAACATTAGAAGTTCCTTTATGCCATACACCCTTCATTTTGGGTTCCTTATTTATTATGCCTTTGCTTTAGATAATCAAAGAATTATTTTGGTCTTTTCAGACAAGAGACAGTAAATTGGAGATTATGTTCCTTCTTGCATACAGCACATTACACTTCCTTAAACTCACACGTTTTTCAAGTTTTGTTTGTTTATTTGTTTGTTTTCTAATATATTAAGTACTCCTACAGGCACTAAAAATATTAAAATGTAATCATCTAGCCAAACGTAAGCTTCTTTTTCTACAATATATCCTTCCTAAGTTCCATGCCACCACAATCCACACGAAGTAACTTTCTACCATTCCATCACAAAATTATGCAATAATTTAGATTGGAAGAACCTCCTGAGGTCTCCAGTGCAACCTGTTGCTAAAAGCAGAGCTAAAAGAAAAACTAACTTCAAAGCTAGATCTTGTTCCAGAAAACAGATTTCTAAGAAACTTGTAGAATTTTATGAAGCTCAAAAATTTTTATAAATCTTAGATTTCTGGATAATATGTAAATTTATGTCTTTTAACCTGAAACTTCCACTACCTTCAGCTCAGAAATATCTGAGCTTTAGCTTACAAGTACTGCCATCTATATAGTGGATTGTGCTTGACCTGTGCTTTACAGCAATGCTGGATAAAACAAGTTCTTTTGATACGGCACAACTGAGGTAATTCCCAGGATTTGAATGGAGAGAATTAATTCCCCAATTTTTAAAAAGCCATACATTAACTCATTAAATGCCATTCATGGGGTACTAATTAGCTGGATAAAATTGAAGTGCTTTAGTAAGTCTTGGGAAGATTGTGAGAAAGAGTCGCTAGATAAATGAATATAGTATTGAAAATAAAACTTCACCTTTTTTGTCCAAATTCTGATTTTCAGTTCTATTTGCCCTTGTTACCAAGACTTCTAACAGAAAAAAAATACTACATTTTGTATATTTTTTTCCTATGTAAAGAAAAATAAAATGATACTATGATGTAAATTCTATGTGATGCTGCAACTGACATTATTTCAAACTCACAATTTGTATTCCATTTCAAATTTAGTCTATCTAATCCATAAAAACATACTGTACAAGTTCTCTCTTCTATCCATGTTTCTAAATAAAACAAGTAAAGAATCAAACTTTCACATATGCTGCTCACACGTAAAGTCAGGGTTTGTTTTTTTTTCTTTATTCTGAGCAAATGTCTATGTAAAATGAGAGGTTCAAGATATTGCTGCAATAGTACTACTGATTTCTGCAAAGCAGTGCACAATCATAAAGAATAAACATTAGTTGCTCTATTTTTTTACTTCTACATCATTTGGGTGCAAACAGCCCTCTTGAAAATATTAGGAGATTTCATGCCATTTTGAAAAGCAGACAGATTTTCAGTCTTTATTTGTTTTCTCATGTATGGTTTATCCTTGTTAAATTCTTTCAATTTTGTTTGGACTTTTTTGAATAGATACATCCGTGTCAAAAGCGAAAGATGCAAGTATCTATTTAATAGATACAGTCTGATGATACAGCTGCACTTTTTCCACTATGTAGCCCAGTGTTACTGGGCATGGTGTGAAAAACATGCATCTGCAGGAGCGGACAGAGAGGTAAGGTGGGCCGGCAGCATTTAGAAAGCCAGACAAAAATAAAGATGATCTGTGCAAAGCAAAATGTGTCTTTTATGAAAACCATCACCTAAAATGATGTTTGCAACAAATCTCTTAGTATTGTTCTAATAAATTTTAGATCTGAAGATTTGATGCTTGGCTGACAGTCCTATAATGAATGGAGCCTGAAAACAGTGGGACCCTGGAGCTAGCTTCAGGCTACATTTGTTCTCAAATATCCACTGATGTTTTAAAATGCAATGGGATTTGGATGTGTGCAAAGTTACAAATGTCAACAGAGCTACTGTGAAGGAAGAATATGATCTTCAGCCAGATACTCCTTCTTAGTGCACAAGAACCTGCACTCCATTTTTGTTGTTTCTTACCATGGAAGTATTCTGCACTAGTCTGATGGAGAAAAGTTTTACATTTGTCATCTACTAAAATGACAACATCATACTGCAAATCATTAGGAATCATACTTAGAAAGACAGTATTTTTCTCTAAATATGATTATAGGTCTATAATAGTTTCAGGAAAATAGAACAATCAGACAGATGTACTGAGTTATATGTCCTGAATTTGTAGCAATTGAATGGGACCTGTGGACTAACAGTGTCATGAAGGTTTAAACCCTACAGGCTCCTGTGCTCAAGATTTTTCTCCTCCGTAGTCTTTGGAATACAGTGATACAATAATACTGAGCAGGTATGAGAAGTACTTTATGAAATAGTTCATGTTGAAAAAATGGTAGCCAAGGTAAAAGAAAAATATTCTGATTTCCTGAGGTAGTAAAACAGAAATACTTGCACTACTTGCCCACTTGCTTATTCTTTGGATCCTGCAACTAACTTGCAAGCATATTCCTTAATTTACATCAAATAAAACAGAGAGATCACATAAAACTGTGGAATAAGTAGAGAAAATGTATCCAAATGACTGCCATGGAGAGAGACAAGCTGCAGCCTGAGCTCGGCAGCTATTGCTTCCATTTGTTCTGCTGGCTAGCACATTAACAAAAACTTGCCATCACACACTTAATTCAAAGTCAGCCACAGCGTGATGCCACTTGTCCAGCTGGTGATGAGGGACATTGGATTGAGCTTTAAATCCACCGAAGTCTAACGTGACAGGGCAGAAGAGCAGGATAGTTGAAGGATAGCAGGATTCAGGATTCTGGCAGGAAAATCATCTGCAGAAACCAGCCACTGATAAACTGTTTTTCAGAGAACACCTACTGAAAATTCTTTGTAGTGTGGATGCTTTATATGCACAGAGTGTTATTAACCCTGGAAGCCAACAAATAATAGCTTTTTGGCAATAATATTTGCTTATTTTTATAATAATATTTATTATTTCTATGTTACAACATTACGGAGTAGTGAGTTTCTGAATTTCATCACTTATGCCCCAAATTCCCACAGTTTTCAGTTCAGGAAATTGGACCTGTTCGGGATGAAATAGGTAACACTGCTTCACCTGCAGCTACTGGTGAGAAAATTCACACCACTTGAGAGGAAGACAAAAAGCTGACAAGATATAGGCCTGCTCTTGTGATACCTGTACCTTGCAAAAAAAGCTGCAGTGATGGAAAGCAAAACACTGTTCATGTTTTGGCTGTTTGACAAAACATTGTTCACTAAGAGTAGTACTAGCTTAGAAGAAACGTGGACCAACAGATGGTCTGTCATCTTCCCTTTATGTCTTCCTCTGAGGTAATACCTATGGAAACGCTGGGAGGCTTAAAACATGCTGTCTCAGTACAATCTCTTGTAGTAATAAGTAAAAACTGTAGCAAACAAGCAAAGGAATGACTCTCCTAAGTATATATAGGTAAGAAAAGCATGGGCTCCTTTAGCGTCTGAATACAGGTAAACCATCTTTCCAGTTTTGGCTCAGTGCAGTTTTCCTCTTTGAAGACTAAAATAAAATGCAGCAGACTAATAGTTTTCTTGAATGGACTGGATATTCTAGCTAGTATTCCTGAGGCTATTTAGGTACTCTTCCTATAAGAGAGAAGAGATCAAAATTTGTGTAAGATAAGACATCTGGCTGCTTCAGAAAATTTTGATAAACAACTGAATTTAAAACTTCTACTGTAATTTCCAAGTTTATGCTAAAACTTTTGCATTTGAATCATTAACTCATGCTTCAATAGTAGTTATTTGGATGTTATATTCCATTATCAAGGGGCTTACAAAAGGCTTTTGAAAACAGCATGTTCTGCCTTATACAGTAATAACCTCATCAGCACTGTACCAATCTTTGCTAGATACATTTCTGCCATTAAAACTAATTTAGCTGGTTCAGAGAATTGATAACAGCATTTTCCTTTGCTTGGTATTCTGTCTAAGACAGTAAGTTGCAAAGTGAAAATCATGAACTATTCTGAAAGATATGAACCATTTTGAAGGCTTGAATCTTTAATACTCTGGAGTCTCTAGCTATTGTAGTATTATTATGGGTGCTCTGAAAGATCAAATTTTTACCTTTGTTTCAATATATTCACATGAAAGTGAATAACTTTTCTGTATGTGATCATTTGTAGAATATATCTGCTTCTGTTAAAAGGGTGTCAACTCCCCAGAGTTGTTATTTAGAAAATTCCAATTTATGCACAAAAATATCTTTCCCTGAGTTTTCTTAAGAATAATATCCAGGTGTAAAACTAGAATCCAGGCCTTTATTTGGAACAAAAATCTTCTCCTCTACATTTGTAAACATTCAGATTTGTGGACTTGTTCAGTTCTAGATAAGGAATGTGTCCCACTTATCAGAGGCTTCTGGATTTGAGGCATACGCCTCAGATACGCGTATCTGTTTTGCAAGCCCTGGAAGAGGACAGTCTCTCTGCCCAGGTGTTTTTTATTACAATGGACTGGGTCAGCCAGGAACATAGTGTCTTCTTAGATGCCATGGCCTTCTCTTCAAAGAACATATAATATTGCTTGATGCTTTATGATACCAGGCTGATTTCACATCAGAAACCTTTTTCTTTTCCATGATACCATGATATTTTTTATTCATGCAAGCAGTTCATGTTAACAGTTTCAGCCTCTTTTTAACATCAATAATATTCTGTATAAACTTAAACATAACTGATTTATAAATGTGCAGTGATCTGGCTTTTCATAGAAGAGTATAACAAGGAAAAAGCTGTGGAGCTCACAATTTGTTAAAAGAAAAACATGATCAAAGACTTCAGCTGCTATGACAACCTGCTTTCTAATGAGCTCAAGCAAAACATAAAGTTCATAAAGGGCTGTGCTTAATGATACCTTGCTTTTGAGAAGGTATACTTCCTGTAATTTGTAAAGACTTTATTAAAACATTTTCTGTCTTTTAAGAGTAAAATGAAAAACAGTAATTGATAATTGCTCTTGCTCTCTAAAAGTCTGCAAGGCCTGTTAAATCCTTTATTTTTAAAAGGCCTGTGGCTACCTCTGGAGTACTTGCACCATATGGAAAATAAGACCTTTAAGGACCCAAAACAAGCTATGTGTTTAGAGATTTTAGTTCTCTTAGAACTTGGTAAGAATGAGATACATCCTTTCAGATGTTTTTGACACCACATGAAATAAGATATTAAAACCCAGTAAACTAGCATTTACTTAGTTTTGAGAAGTAGTGTCTTGCCAAAAAGAAGAAAATTATAGTGTTTTGATGCGAAGCTTTATGGGGGAATTTAAGAGAAGTCTGTTCTACCTCTACCTCATCTTCCCACAAACCTCATTGCAGTTTTGGAAACTGTATTTTTCTTGCACTGAGTGAATTGATCTTAAACCAAGACTCGCATTCTGACTATTGTGTATTGGTGTTACCTCTGTGTTGACAGTAAACATTAATCACTGTCTAGAAACTCATATTGCTCAAGCTTGTATTCCTGTGAATCCCTGCCTATCTACATCATACATTCCTATGGCTCACCACTTAGCGTCTGCAGTGGGATTTTGGTGTCTTCCATTCTAGCTGTGTGGTTGGCCTAGCACAGCTGTTCTGTGATGATTGTTTCTTTACTTCCTGAAAGAGCAGTATGTTCCAAAATTTCATTGTTATAAACGGTATTTGCTATATCATGCACAATATGGCACACAGATGGCACAGATGAAACCCATTTAAAAGCTTTATATATACATCAGTGTGGCAATGTTTCACACCCTTATAGCAAACTAGATACTACTGCCATGATGTAGATGTTTTATTTAGTTGTCTGCTTTTCTCTTTCCAAACTCTGCCTGCTAATCAGCCAAAAGACATGATGTATCTGGTAGTTCATTTTGTCAGGCCTTTGTACAAACAGCTATCATCTGATATATCACTAAGGCAACAAAGTTTTTTGGTAGCTTCCCACCATATGTTTCTCCTTAAACTTTACCTGGTGGAGGCATATCTATCACTTCAGTGTTTTTCCACTGCTCATAATGACTCCCTACCTCTTTAAAAACGAGGTTACTAAAGCCAATAATCAGTGACTGTTTCAGCCTCAAGGTAAAGTGATTAACATACAACACCTCACAATTATCTAGAAAGATACTTGAGGGTTTAAAGCCCATTAAGTTAAAGCAATTTCCACATTATAAAAAATGTATCCAGATCAAGCTCCTTGCTTTATCTGAGAGTAGCATAACTGGAGGACAAAATGATATTAAGTTCTAATTTTGTTTGTTTGTTTGCTCATTTCTTTGCTAAAGGCAATGGGATAGGAACTGGTGAGAACACTGACCTAGCTAGCTTCATCAAACATGGACATGGATATCCCATAAGTTGTTGTTCTGTTAAGAAAATAGTATGAGTACTCAGAAGTGATTTTTCTTTAGAAATGTCATTATTGAGCTAATCTCCTTTTGGTTTTAATTGCTGTGGGAAGGGGGTTGTTTGTGGCATTGTTTGCTTTTTTCATGTGTTTAAAAGGGGAACTTTACAGATTTTACAGTGTTCACTATAAACGGCAAGATTCCAGACGATTTTTTACAACGTTAGTCACAGGGTTCTTAGCAATATTGACCTTTCTTCTGCTGCTGAAGGCCTTAGTTTAAGTTATTTGACAGGATTCAGTTGCTCATCAGAAAAGCTTTTGTCTCCATACTAATAGCTCAAAGACAGTATGGCAACTCTGTCTTGTATTCATGCTCTTGAGTCATTTAGCTTAGGCTGCTGAAGTGTCACATGTTCAACAAGATGCCATCAAGTGAATGTAGCATACAGCTGATGGTTGTTTGTCTTTATTAAAGAGAATTATTAATTTAAAATCTTGGTGTTCATTAAAAAAATGTGTTATTTCAATTCTTTCTTCAGCTGAAGGATATAAAGAAATACCTGACCTGTTGCTGATCTATCTTCCTTTTAGTCAGATATTGAATTTTCCCATGAAGTTGATGTGTTTGGTATTTTTGATATGTTTGATATGTTGATCAAATATATTCATACAGGTGTCAGAAAAAAGTCTCCTTTGTTTCCATGTTTGGTGCAGGAGAATGGATACCTGTAGCACAGTCCCTACTTTCAGTATATGTTAGAGATCACATATTCTGCAGGACTGACTTTTGAAATTATTGATGTAGAGTTTTTAATTAGGGAATCAAGAAATAGATAACATGGCTGTGATATGGATAATGACAAAGGAAGAAACAAGCTTTCTTTTCTTCCTTAATATTTTTTTGGTTTTATTAACTACTTCAGTGTCTGTCCCATATTCAGCCAATGTTCATCTCTTTATTGGGTTTGCGTGGCCAAGTTTGGGTAGCAGGGGGCCTACAGGGGTGCCTTCTGTGAGAAGCTGCCAGAGGCTTCCGCTGTGAGAGAGCCAATACCAGCCAGCTCTGGGGCAGGCCCACTACTGGACAAGGCTGTGCCAATCAGGAATTATAATAAAGCCTCTGTGGTAACTATTTAAGAAGGAAAAAAGAGGTCATTATGAAGATGTAATTGCAGGCAGAAAAGATCAGGGTGTGAACATATGAGAAGAACAACTCTGCAGAAACCAAGGTCAGTAGAGAAGGAGAGGCACTGGAGCTGAGATTCCCCCGCCCATGGAGAGGCAGCTATGCCCCTGCATGCCAGTGGAGGTAACAGGGATGAAGAGATCTACCTGCAGCATGGAGAGGAGCCCTGCAACAGAGCAGGTGCCTGAAAGAAACTTTGGACCCATGAGGATCCTGTGCTGGAGCAGGGTCCAGGTCGGACCTTCATACCTGTGGAGAGAAACCCACACTGGTGCAGGCTTCACACAAATTGAAGCAGTTCGTGGAGAACTGTTGCCCGTAGGATTGACTCATGTTGGTGAAGCTCATGGAGAACTGCCTCCCACAGGAGGGACACCACAATGGAGCAGGGGAAGGACTCCTCTCCCAGAACAGCGGTAGGAACAACAAATTGACCACCATCTGCATTCCCTGTCTCCCTGCACAACTAGAGGGGAGGAAGTAGAGCTAGGATGTTGAGAGGGTGTGGGGGGAAAGTGTTCTTAATATTTAACATCACTTCTTATTATCCTGCTATTTTTTGGTAATAAAACAATTACTATCTCTAATTCAAGTCTGTTTTGTCCATGAAGATATTTGGATTTCCCCAGGTGCTTATCTCAAGTAATTAACCTTTTGCTATATTTTCTCTCCCCTGTCCCATTGTGGAGGATAGTGATAGAGCAGTTTGGGTGGTTGTCTGGCAGGCAGCCAGCATCAACCCACCACAGGCTGGTCCCTGACATAAGATCACATTCTACCATTAAAAAAAATGTCATGTTCTTACCACAGAAATCTGACCCAACCCCAGTAGTCTCAGCAGGTTCCACTAGCCTGTGCAGAGTTTAGTACACAGTGTTAATAGCTCTCTGGAGCCAACAGGTATATAAAAACAGTGTAAAAACTACTCAGAGTGATTGTATCTCCCTTGACATCCTCCATTGCATCGACTGCAGCATTTCCTTCGCCCAGGCTTGGTTTCAACTTCAGTCACTTGCATCTGCAGCACTGAGAATTGCATACCCAGTAACAACCAGCTTTTATACAACTATTAATCAGAGATAATTCTACTCTTTGAAATCACAGCAGAGAAAGTGAATGAAGACTAACACCATATGTTCTACCCAAATTACTTTCTAGAAGACTCTAAGCCTATAAAAGAATCAACCTCATTTTCTACAACAGTTTTGCAAAACATACTTTATGCTTTATATATTCCTTACTATTTTCAAATAATACTTACAATGGTAGATGTATGCCTCCAACTACCACAGATATCATTAGAAATAGCATTTAATTATAACAAAACTAATAGTATACTTTTTTATTTCCCCTAAAAGCCGATTTGCTTGAGGCTATTACTAAAACTGATTAGCATTTCTAGTTTCTGGAAATTATGTGAATGTTTCTTCTTCTGTGTAACATTAATATGCTTCTTTAGTTGTATATTCTGCTTACATGAACAATTTTCATCCTCCTGTTTCTGTGGAACACTTATTTTGGGACAATGAAAAAATTACAGCAATTATTTTTAGGAGAAACAGGAACAAGAACATAGCTCTCAGCTAATGGTTGAAATAGCTGTGAAAGATTTCTCCTTACCCCTGGCAATCTCAGCAATGAAAAGAAAGTCTGCAGAACAGCAGCTTACACCTAATGGTACACATTGTGTCTTCATAGATGATTATAGTTTTACAGTGCTCCTCTGTGATGGAGTGTGTATCTGTTCGAGGATACAAATTTTGGGTGGGGTCTATTTAACAGCCTTGGTAGAATGAGGAGAAATGAAAAAGACAAGAAGGAACAGAGAAGCAGAGAGTAAATTCAGAAGTGCTTGAAATCTTTAAATCAGGATTGTTGTTTTCCAAAGAAGATACTCAATTTTAATTATGTAATTTGGACTTAATACTTGGTTTTGTTTTGTTTTGCTCTGTTTTTTTGGGGTTTTTTTGTGTGAGGAGTAGTCAATTTCATAAGAGAAAAAAAGCTGACATATAACCAACTGGATACAATAACATGTACGCTCTCCTACTGGCCAAGGAGTAAACACATGAATTCCAGATGTTCAGGGCTGTAAAAAACAGATTATTCTGTTTTGCACCACTATTACAGTAATACTGATTTTAAAATTTCTTTTTTCTGTGAGTCCCTTGTTATGGGGATTGAAAACTTACAATAAGTAACTTTGGATCCTTTGATCCAAATTTAATTTGGCCAATGACAAGCTGACCCTGAGCCAGCAGTGCCCTGTCAGGCAGGAGGGCCCCGGTGTCCTGGGGTGCATCAGGCCCAGCATCACAGCCGGGCAAGGGAGGGGATTGTCCTGCTCTGCTCTGAGCTGGGGCAGCCTCACCTCCAGTGCTGGGGACAGGTCTGGGTGCCACAACACAAAAAAGACATTGAGGTGTTCGGGAGTGTCCAAAGGAGGGCCATGAGGATGGTGAAGGGCCTTGGGGGGAAGCCGTGTGAGGAGTGGCTGAGGTCACTTGGTCTGTTCAGCCTGGAGGAGGCTGAGGGGAGACCTCACTGCACTGACAGCTTCCTTGGGAGGGGAAGAGGAGGGGCAGGCACTGACCTCTGCTCTGGGGTGACAATGACAGGATGTGAGGAATGTCCTGAAGTTGTCAGAGGAGGTTTAAGCTGGATATCAGGGGAAGGTTCTTCACCCAGAGGGTGTCTGAGCACTGAACAGGCTCCCCAGGAAGTGTCACAGCACCAGCCTGACAGAGCTCAGGAAGTGTTTGGACAACGATCTTGGGCACATGCTGTGACTCTTGGGGTGTCCTGTGCAGGGCCAGGAGTCAGACTTGATGATCCTTGTGGGTCCCTTCCAACTCAGCTCAATCTGTGATTCTGTGTCCCTTAGTATATATGTAACATGATGTAATATGATGTATGGGTAATACGATGATTTGCTCTCACAATTAAGAGATGAATATTTTGTGTATTGTCAAAAACAAACAAGGGTCTGGACTCTTCTGGATGTTAAAAGAAGTAGCCAAACCTTTACTCGATGGCAAAAATACCAACAGGAGTAGGAAGACAGGCTAGCCTGACTCCCTGCAACTCACAACCTGACGAGGAAGGAGAGCCCCCAACACAGCTGTGCGCAAGGTTATATAGCGCTTGATCCCCAGGGGAGGGTACAACTCAGGGTCCAATGAGGGATCAGGGGAGGAGGAGTGAGGGGAGGCGGTTACACTACTGGTGACCAATAGGGACATGTCATGGGCGGGACGGCAACTAGGGAACCAATCGTGAACCGAACTAGGGGTGAGGAGCATGGAAGGTTCTGGAAGAAAGGGTCGGGTTTACAATGATGGATAGGGGGATTATGGCAGGCCGGGGTGACGGGCAGGGAAGGTTCAGGAAAAAGGGGAGGGGTTTACATAATTGACAACTGGGGTCAAAACCAATACAGTTAATAGGGGAGAACAAGAACATACCAACAGACTAACAATTACAATCATAATACTATAAATACTTATAACATGTATGTTAAGAGAAGTTTTATTGATGTTATTGTTTGTTGTTTGGACATCCTCTGTTCCCCCCATAGTCCCCTTTTCCCGTGTTCTCTGTATGTTGTCATCGGACAGGCTTGGCTGTCAGGGAAAGGCCTGCTGCTAGGGGGCGTGGCATGGCAACACCTGACCTCCAATCAAGTTGCCAGAGATCAGCTTTCACCAATGAACAGTGAGGAAGAAGCTGACTGACAGGCTCTGTGCGGGGCCAGGGTTTCCTGATGCAACATCAGGCGTATAGAAGGTGGAGCAGCCATTTTGTGAGCGAATACGTGGCTGCTGGTCACAAATACCCCTAGTGCTGTTCTTTGTCCTTATTGAGTCTTTTTTTGTATTTTTGAGGTTTGATAATTAAAATAGTAATTATTTAATTTAATTAAATAATAATTAATTTAAATAAATACATAACTTAAAATTTAATTTTTAAAGTGAGGGGTCATTTCTCACTGTATACACATTTCAAGTTAGGAATAAGTTAGTGTTCTCCCCACAAATGATAATTTCCCCACAGATTAGGAAAACCAATACAGAAATGTTCAAAAACACCCTTTTCCTAGCAGAAGTGTTTTGTTGGGTTTTTTTGTCTTCCTTGAAATACACTGGTAAGGTTATATGAAGCACCATATAATTTTTTTTTCCTTACATGCATGAATCCAAGCCAGTTACAGTTTTTAAAACTGAAAGTCGCTGTTGTTGAAATCAATGAAATTACTTGCAGGCAAAAAGTTACATGCAAGAATGAGAAAAAAGGGTGCCCCAGAAAACATATGCATGTGCATCTTTTTCAGTTAGCTCATGAGAGCCTCCTCAAGCACACATGAATAAATAAGATATTGCGAATTATGTGCATGGCTTTATTTGTCTTCATCTTTTTCTTTGTCAGTATCACAGCTGTGATCACCCAGAAAAATCATGTGAATTTTCAAAATTTATATTTTCTATTTATACACACAGTACAATTAGAAGGTCACAGGATCACAGGCACCTGCTCATCTCCCAGCAGGAACAAAATCAACCATAAATGTTGAGGGGTTTTTTCCTAGCTTATAGTCTAGTCTGTTGATTTTCTACATTTCTTAGAAAAATGTAGAAAGTTATTAAGAAGCGCAAAGAAGACATTTTCAGAAATTTTCTCAAAATACAGCATCATAGAATGTTGTAGTTTTTTTGTTTTTTTGTTTTTTTTGGTGTTTTTTTTTTTTGTTTTTGTTTTTTTTTCTGATGGATTGCTTGGGTAATTAGTGTCTTCCACCAAGCTCTTTCTTCCTTTTGATTCTAAGAGTATAGTATCAAGGTAAAACCAAATAGAAATACTAGGCTCAAATTTCATAGCAGATTATAATCCAGATTATAATTGTATCTTTATGTTATGTCTGCAATAATAATAGTATAAGAAAACAGCTGAGAACATGCAAAAGTAGCCTTAGCTGTTGGGGTTTTTATTCTGCTTATAGGTTGAGATATGTTTTAGGACCTTCTCTATTGAATGTTAGATTATTTGGTGAAGTTGTTTTTAGTTTACAGCTGCCTACATCTTCTAAATGGCCATACAAATGATGTTGCAGAATAATGAAGAGCAATCTTAATGAAAAGGATAATTCTTGCTCATATAATCTATGTCTTAGATTATAGGATATATCTATATATCTTACATATCTTATAAATCTATATATATCTATATATAGATATGTATCTATATATATATCTTCTAAGAAGATAATTCTTATACTGAAGTATTAC